AATCCTTCCTCCTCAAGTACTTCTCGAAGTGGTCGAGTGGTCAAGTTGGCAATGAAGGGGTCCATAGATAACAACAAGTCTTTTACGGTGGTGAAAGCATAACCATTCATTTGGTGGTCATATATTCTGCAGCAAAACAAAGAACATCTATTAAGAACATTTTATGCCATCCATATCAAGTGCACCTCCTAAATCTACATGACCCGAGCCCAGCAACTGATCTATCCTCCAACTCAGGTCACAGTTCAATTTGTGTATATGTAAGGGGGTTGGGGGTGGCTTGCTTGTAACATTCAACATCCCCCAAACCCAAGCTAGTAACATTTCATTATCACTGAGCAGACATAGAGTTTTCTCCTCTCATCATGAATGGTTGCACTCTTAATGAGGCCCTTTGTCTTTAACATCTATTGGGACTCAAGCTCACTCCAGACCCCAAATGGAACTTATATAGACTCAGTGAAAATAGGGTAAGCAGTAAACAAGCAGTATTAAGTAAAAACAAGATGAGATATGCCTAGACATGGACAGCAGAAAAAGGCCAATCTACCACCAGAGATTAAAAACTGGGTTCAGTCTGAAATTTACTGATGGTCATTCAGATTGATATACACCTAAAAAAAAAAAAACTAGAAGGCATAACGTCAGAAATGTTATGATAACAATAAAGATGAGGATAACAGTTTGAATGTAAATAATGATAACTCTTCACCCCAGACATGAGACAGAAATCATTTTCATTAATTATTAAAAAGTAGTGTATAGATTTGGTAAGCTAAAATGATTAAAAAAAAAAAAAAAAAAAAAAACTAAAAAAACAAATATATTTTCCTGGTGTAATTTATTCTACTTTTTGTAAAAAATTTTTTTCATTTCTTTGGGAAACTTGTTTTTTTTTAAAAAATTAATATTAAAAAAAGTGCAATTTTGATGGAAAGGTGGCTCTGAAGTGGTGGATGAATTATATATATATATATATATATATATATATATATATATATATATATATATATATAATATTTTTAAAAATATATGATTCCCAAACTACATAAAAGTTCTTGTATGAAGCACTGTTTTTTAAATAAAAAAAAAAATACTAAAGAACTCCAGATTATTTACCCAACATGTCCTTTCCTATTTTTCTATATATTTGCACACACTATATATATATATATATATATATATATTACATATATTTTGAAATAAAACAGATTTTTTAAGGTTCCATGTAATAAATTATTTCACCACAGCCCTTTTAAAGGGCTCTGGATCATCAGACTTTTACTTCCAAAGGTTGAAATGAAAAATGAAAATACATTTTTGACGGGCTGTATTAAGCATATGTAAATTAACGAAGTGAGGAAGTTTTATGTTGGTTTTCTTCTTCACCCCTTACCCATCCATACCTAAAGATAACATACGTTAAGTTATAGCGTTGTTGGTATTTCATTCAAGTGGGGTTAGGGATAAAGAATTGAAATGGTACATCTAACTCATTCATGTCTCCCCCCCCCACTTCCTCAATTTACAGGGCTGTGGTGAACTAATTTATTACACGGAACCTTAAAGTGGTCTGTTTTTATTCAAACATATTTGCTCTGAATTTACATTGAGCTCTCCGGATATGATCCTCCTTGGGTCTACCCATACGGAATCCCTAGTTTTGCATAAACTATACATATATATATTTTTTTTTCCTCCCCTTACCATCTTGTTTTATTACGGTATTAATAAAAAAATTTTTCTTGTTAGTACTCCGTTTTAGATTACCGACGATTGTGTTTGAAAATGTGTCGGCAAAAAGGTAAATTACACATCTTATGTTTTAAACGTGGATATTGTTGTATCTTATGTTTAATATGATCCCATATTTTTTATTCCTCAAATGTCTGATTAGATTTGGCAGTACTAGAAATCTGTTTTTATATATATATATATATATATATTATAGTGACATGGCCCTCAACGTTCAATCAGATGCATGACAGATTTATTAAGGAACTTGCTGTTTTTGTGTTTTCTCTTTCCTTCCTCTTTAGATCGAGTCTTATCTTAACTGAAAGAATTTGGATTGCTTGACAACAGACAGACTGACCTCCAAGGAAATAAAGTTGGTCAACCAAGTTCACGTGACAGACATCACTATGTGGGATTTTTTGTATTGTACTTTCAGTTTCCTGATAATCTCTGACTGCAACAGATAGTGAGAAAATTGACTCTCAGTGACCTCTTATGAGAAATGCACCCATAAAATTATTCCATTACTTGTTATTTTTTTGTTATATAAAATTGTTACAAACATTCATCTTGTGTTTTTTATTTGTTGGTACCTGTTCATGTGTTCCATCCACGTGAACCACCTTTTCTTTTTTCTGAACCGGGGGGGGGGGGGGTTGCATATTTCATAACTATATATAGATACATATATATGAAAAATTTCTCAGAGTTAGTAGAGAAAGACAAAAAAAATACTTTAAAAGTTTAATTTCCCTCTCTAAGTTCTCCACTGCCTTAACCGGTTATTGAACTCACACCAATGCCTTTATCCACTGTGTCCTCAAGGACACATGGCACAGTGGATAAAGGCATCAGTTAGATCTAGTGACAGGACCCAAAGAGTGTGAGTTCAATACCCGGTTAAGGCAGAAAATAACTGACATCCATTAAACATGACATGTGGAACTAGAACAGTCTATCCCAGTGAGCGCAATAAAGGGTTCAGTTCAACATTCCAACCACCTGAAGAAGGCCATGTAGATTAATAAATATATTGAAACGTTGTAATAAATATGGTGACAAACATGAAGACAATAGTCTGAATAATGTAAATAGTGTACATAATACCTCATCTCAGAAATATAGATGGATACTGGCCGAAACGTGTCAGCTAATATTACAGTTTTCCTATTGTCTATATATATATATATATAAATAAATTACCAAACCAAATCCCAATTGAATATCTACCATTATGACATGGAATGTTTAATTTTCACTGTAAATATACTGCTATTGATTTTTGGTGTCTTTATGTAAATGTGTATATAATTGATAAGTACAGAAATCCAAAATTAAAAAACATGTTATCAAATTAATAACTCAATTTTAAGACATAATAATCATAAAATCAAGTTCCTAATTAATTTAGGGGGAAAAAAAAAAAAAAAAAAGTTAAAATTTTTTTTCTCATCTTTCTGAGCTTCCATACATTAGAATTATGCTCTAGTCTACTGAGAAAAAAAACCTGCTACTTGTTTAAGAATGAATAGAAAGCAAGGGTTCAGTTTAACATCCTTCAAAAATCTTAATTTATGAAAGAAATTAAGGTTACATTTAAGGCACAGAATATATTAAATATACTTTCCTGAAAAATTACATCATATTTATTAAAATTGAATGAGTGATTTTGACAAAACCGTGGCAAACCTGCTTCAACATTTTACTGTATAAGAATGCCTCATGAGGATTTCAAGCAGGAAATAATTCAGATTAACTTTGAGCACTCTGCATTATTAATATTACTTCCCACTGCATTCTTTTTCAAGGAATCTCAATTGCAGTATCCTTAAATATAATTTCACACAAAGTGGTTTTCTGTTGCCATAGCAGGACATGACAACATAACTATGAAATTCAAACCAACTATTCTTCAGAGATCAGTCACCTTCAGTGGCACAGTAAGCTTCTTGTACAGCAAATGAAATCACATACAGATTGATAAATGTTAAAAAATGAAAAAAAAAAACTCAGGGAAACTAATTAAGCAAAGCATCAAGGGAAATAAGGAAAGCAAGAACGAATTAAAAATAATCATTAGAAGCCATAAAATGATTTTGGAGAAAGCTCCAGATTTGAACCTGAAATAAACCAAATGGAATTCATTAAGATTTAATAAGACTAGATCTTCCCCAGCCTACCCAATTGCCTCCAGTATGACTAGATTTATGGTCTTCTAAAAATTTCCAAAATGCCAGGGAAGAATTCTGACTATGTTTATATGAAGCACTATTAAATCCCACAAATGGTAATAGTATTACCAAAATTCAACCCAGAGATTTGGCCTGACTGCATTCCAAAGAAGACCATCTTTTATATGGACAGTCATGAATAATCATTAGAAGCCATAAAATTATTAAAAAAAACATACAATAAATCAAAGCCAGAGGTGTGCACATTTTCCTTACATAAACAAAACGAGCAAAAGCAAGATGAGACCAGACAAAACCCAGATGACGATAGGCTCATATAAACTACTCTTCTTGCTGCTGCTTCTGCCACTAAAGAACACACAAGCCCAGATAGATGAGAACGAGGTCATTCAAATTATTACAATTTATTGCTAGAATAATTTTCCTGCTGAAAGATCATCAATCAGGCTGTATAGAAAGTTTAATAAATCTTTAATCCTTATGTACTTTTAAATTCTTCAATTTGTCTTCATTAAACTAATTGTTAGTTATTAACAGAGTTTGTTGGTCTGTGCTGAGAAACTGGTTTTCAGTAAAGAAGGTATCATGGTTGCGAAAATTTTACATCTGAAATTTCTGCAAAATCACAACCACTGGAAGAATGACATATTTTTTGTTGTACTGCGACAGGGAATGACAGATCAATGAAATGAGAGCAGTGAGACAAATTGTGCGGTGGGGAAATAATTTGTTAGAATAACACATTCCAAGTGTAAAAAAGGTTACATTGATCACACATGGAAGGTTGAGAAGAATTTCTTGTGTACAATGACTATTTTTGTAATGGGTGAAGCTGGAGAACTGAAAGGCTGTGCAGAAATTACGATGAAAAATTTACCGAATGAATTTTTGCAAAACATTATCCTTAATCCAACTTGAAAGTCGATGTATGTCTCGGCCATAACGCCAAAAAGCCTTCATGGCAGTGAGCAGAGCAAAATCACTGGATTGAAATTGGAACTGTTCACCATCATAAATTCCAAAACTGCCAGAATTCACAAAGATCCTCTCTAAACCTGCAAGAGAAAAAAATTCTTATCAAAATTCCATAAGAACTAAAGAACTTAAAAATTATTGTACAATAAAACGCATATGAAAAAAGAAAAAAACTGTTTCAAGTGTACATTGTAATAAATACACAGAAAAATTCTGGGTCAATGCATTTCTATCAAGTGATCTCCCCTTACCTAGGATTCATCCAGTTGGTTGGTTGGGTTTTATGGCATATCAACCACTGTAGGTCATTTAATGCCAAATTAGTTTTTATATATATATATATATTAAATATATAGTTTGAATTAAACATTTTTTCAAAACATTATTTTTCAGAAACGCATAGCTGGCAACATTTTTTTCCAGAAAAAAAAGCTGGCAACATTTTTTTCTTAAAAAATACAGCTCTAAACATTTTTTCTCCAGAAAAACAGCTGGCAACATTATTTCTCCAGAAACTCACCCTTAAAAACATTTTTTCTCCAAGAAACGTACAGCTGGCAACATTATTTTCTCCAGAATTTATCACAAGCTGGCAACATTGGTTTTCTCCAGAAAACATTATCTGAAACCTGAAAAACAAAAATAGTTTATCGCCATACCCAGGACGCGGATGTAGTTTATCGCCATACCCAGGACGTGGGTAAGATCTGGAAAAAAACTATATTGTTCACTATAATTATTTCACTGGGGCCCCAACAAAACCACCCCGGGTCAGGGTGGACCTGGGAATTTACCAGCAATTAAATAGGTTTTTCACGCTCCTCAAAACCTCCTTTAACATCATACCCATGATGGGATTTATTCTTAAAATTCAGAAATAAGCAATTGTTTTACTGAACCCATATCCTCTTGATAATGAAAATTTTTTAAGTTTTCATCTGAAAACAAGAAAATATGAACTTCAAGCAAAAAAGTCACTGAAAACTGATGCCATTTTGTTTTAGTGACCATTTTCATATTTTCTTGATTTCAGATGAAGACAAATTTCAGTGATATTTTCACTTTACAAAATTATAGTTTATAATTAGGTACCTCCACTGATTTACTAAATAGCATATCATGATGAAAAAAATGCGCCAAACTTGATAAAAAAAACAATGTTTTTCGATAAAATCTTTGTTATTAGGAAGAAAAACCAAAGGATATTAAATTATATTTTTTGATCCTTCTTAGAGCATTTGAAATTTTAGTTAAAAATCTTGTTTGTTTTGTGTTAGTGAAGGGGACAAAATATTAGTATAGGAAATTTTAGTGGTGAAAAACACTTATTTGAAAATTCTTACAAAAATCAAATAAATGTCAGATTTTAATGAAACTTTCAGGACTTATTCACAAATAAATTATTTAAAAAAAAAATTTTTTTTTGTTCAGAAAATCTTGGTAGAAATATTTTTTTTTTTTTATGTCTGTTAATCCACATTTATTTAATTTTATTAAATTTTAAGAAATTAAATTAATTAATGTTTATATTATTTAAAAGCAGAACTCCCTGGGAATTTAAATCATCAATTTCTTTTATAAAACAGGATCACCAGTTACTGAAAATCTGCTCTGAATTGTAAAATAAAAAAGCAGTAAAACTAAGATATTATTTAATTAGAAAAACTTTTAATTGCTTATATGAATTATTATTCATATAAGCAATTAAAAGCTTTTCTATTTAAATTATTATGGGCACTATTGTTTTAAGAAAAAAATTTTTTTAATGAATAATGAACTTTTACAATAATAGTTTTCATTTAAAACAACAAAAAAAAAAAAATTAATTATAATAATTTATAAAGTTTTAAATCTTAAATTTTTATATTATATTAATGGTTTGTTTAGGTGATATTGTTATCAATTAAAAATAACTAAAATGGTAAAAAAAACTTTATGGAAAAATTTTCTTAAATTTTAAGATTTTTCAGTAAGTTAAAATTTATAAAAAAATATTTTCATGTTATATTATAAAAATTAACCATATATGTATTCTCAATTTGAACATTTTTGGATAAACGTCCATCTGTCAGTCTTTTCCTTAAATAAACAACTACTATGGTGTAAAAAAAATGCATTTCTGTGATATTTTAAACTTTAATATTTTTTTTAAATCAAATTAATTAAACTTTAAATCATTAAATATTCTGCAAAAAAGTTTCATAAAAAATATATTTTATTTCAAAAAGAATTTTTTTTAATAAAAATTTTGTTATTCTGTAAGGAACGATGGATAAAAATATAAATCAGCAATTTTATCAATTTTTAAAAAAATAAATTCTTCAGTCAATTTAAATTAGTTTTGAAATACAGCAAAATATTTTACTTATTGGAAATATTAAATTTAATCTATTAGCTTGAAATAGAAACTAAAAAAAAGCTTTAATATTTTTTCATTGAAAAAACGATTTCATTTTATGATCGCCTTACCTATTTATAAAATAATTATAGTTTAAATATATATAACTTTTTTCAAAACTGAATGAAAGAAGAATACAAGTTAGAAAGCACAAGTAATTCTTTAAATGTGTTTAAAATTTCAAAGATGAAAGTTGGACATCAGAAAAGAAAGAAACTGTATGCAGAATTTGCTAATATCTATGATAAAAAAAAACAAATCTATATAAAATTACAAAAGAATTTGAATATTGATAAATCTGAAAATTGATTCTGAGAAAATAAATTTATAAAATTTTATATTTGGAAATAAAAATCAGAAGATAAAGATGGATATTATCTTAGCTTTGTGAATCTGTTAGTGTTTTCAGAACATATCCTGTTATAAAAAATTTTATTTTATAATAATATTGTCTTTGCTTTTGAAAAGATATGACATGACATCTTTTAGAAATTCTTTAAAATAACCAAAATAAAATTTCTCTAATCATTTGGAGTTCTTTATTTAATAAAAACTATAATTCATTTATTTAAAAATAGTGTTTTACTCAACAACAAAATAAAAAAAGAGTTTTTTTCTTAAAATTAGTTAGTTTATTTTATTTTGGAGGAAAAAAAACCACCAAAGAATGTTCTTTCTTTATTTTTATTTCATTTAATGAATGAAACTTTAAATTTTTAGAAATATTTTTCAGAACATTTTGATTTTTTTGTATTCAGTAATTTTTGAAAATAGAATATTCCTTTGTTAAACAAAAAAAAAATAATTTTACTCAAAAAAAAACTGGCAGTACTATCCATTTGATATTTCTTCCTTTCTTGTTGGCAATTTTTTTTAAAACTGATGTAATTTTTTTCCAAAATAAAATTGGAAAAAGCCTTTTTTTTCACTTTTTTATCTACCATAATATCAAATTTTTAATTTTTAATCTTATTATGCCATATTTTAATTTATTTTCCATTTTATATGCTAAAGAAAAAAAGCAAAACAATTAAAAAATTTTTTGTTATTTTTTTATCTGTTCTTATATTTTTTGATATGGTAAAAAATATCAAAACACATATTTAGTTTTTCTTGTGAACATTAATTCTGTTAAAAATGTAAAACCAACATTTTGTACAAAGATTTGGCATTATCCTTTAAAAAATTTTTTAAAAAGCTTTTTCACTTCTTTTTCATTACTTTCTTTTTCCAAAGCTTTTCAAAAATGTGCCCACAAATATTCAAGTTTTTTTTTTTGATATATATTTTAGTTAAGTGAAATAATTTATTTAAAACAATCAAGAATATTTTACAAAAATTTTTTAAATTTCATAAGCAACAACGGTGTGTATCATTATTCAAGACTATATACTTCATAATGCCATATCTTTAAAATACATTTTATATAAAAACAATATTTAGAAAAACCATAGAAGTTGAAAAAAAACTAAACAAATTTCAACAACTTATTTAAAGCTATCAAAACACCATTGAAAATAATTTTTTGTTAATTTATTCTTCAAACAATGTGCAGTCTTGATAAACAGAAATCTATCTATATATAGTTTTAAAAATGTTTGAAAAAAATGAGCACAAATTTTTTAAGGCTTTCATTTAATTTTAAATGTTTTAATCCATTTTGATCAAGAAAAACAGTCTTTTCATAAATTAACTAGACTTCATCCTTGAAATTTCTGGATGTCCACTTTAAAAAATCATTTAATAATTTTTTTGTAAACAACATTTAGGTATTAACTACATTTTATAAAATTAGATTCAAATATTCAAAAATTTAAATAATTGTTTTTATAGTGTGAAAAGTTTTTAAATTTAAAAAAAAAGATATCAAATAATGGAAAACTTTCCTTTTTTTTTTTAAATTACATTTTTATTTTACAAAATCGGACTATTGTCCTCATCTTTGTCGCCATATTTATTTCAACAACGCTCCATAAATCAGAAGTATGGTTGGAATTCGATTTGAACTTTTTATTTTTTTTCATACAGGGAATTTGTTCTAGTTCCACGTGCATTTCTATAATGGATGTCATATTATCATGATTATTCAAAATTAATTTCCCTCTGAAAGTTCTCCATGCCTTAACCAGGTATTGAACTCACCTTCTTTGGGTCTGTCACTGGATCTAACCAACGCCTTTATCCACTGTGTATTTGTGTCCTTGAGGACATCTGGTATGAATTTCTGGGTATTATAAACCTAATGTTTTCAAAAAATCATTTTTACCAGTGCTCATATTGCAATTTTTGCTGTTATCATTGCATGTTTTACCAGAGTTCATATTGCAATTTTTTTATCATTGCTTTTTTCTCTTTTCTCCTTATTACTGGTTCCCATATTGTATTTATTTCTATGCTTGGTCGGCTCAGGAGATTTTTGTGGCCTAGCATATGTATTGATTCTTAAGTTTACGAAATTTTTCAATGGTGTTCCTTGTCTATGATCTCAACATGATCCCACAGGGGCGGTGATCTTTTTCTCTCTCCATATGTGGTCAGCCATGCCTGATTTTTCCATTTTCCCCTCGTGTTACAGCTTTTTGGTGTTCTTGAAGCCTTACCTTGAGGGGCGGCCTGTAACAATTTTATATTTCTTTTCATTTGCAGCTGCACGGGATAGCATACACACAGTCTTTAGTCATGTTCTCCTCTATAGGGGGTCTTACTGAGAGAGATATCTAAAAGTGTTGTCAAGCTTTTGAAGGTTGTCCTGATGTTATATGGACCGCAGATCCTTTTTATTTTCTCTGATAACCCCTTCACATAAGGCAGGCAGACTGTTTTCTGAGTGTTGTTTCCTCCTCCTCCTTGTAAACCTGCCTATCCAGTTTTTTTGGGGCTGCTGCCATGTATTAGGTAGTTGTTACGTTATTATTGTTATTTATACTGACCAATTATTTTATCTAATGTCTCTGGATCGCCACTTATGATATTTTTATAAGGGTGTTGTAAGCATCGGATGATCCCTTTCTTTACGCTGTATGGGATGGGGGAGTTGAAATTGAGGTACTGTCCGGTGAATGTTGGTTTACGGTATATGATGTCTTGAACCCATGCTCTGTTCAAGATATTAGAACATCCAGGAATGGGAGTGAGTTGTTACTCTCTTTCTCCATCATTGAACTGTAAAAGAAGGTCTTATTGAGTTCACAGATTCCAGTAGAACCTGGACATCTTCCTGATGTGGCCAGAGTTCATGAGGTGTCATCTATGTAATGTAACCATATAGTTGGCTTTAGAGATATAGATTCTAATGCCATTTCTTCAAAGTATTCCATGTATATATTCGCCATTGCTGGTGATAATGGTTAGCCCATTTCTAAGCCCTCATCCTGTAAAAATATATGAAGATCCCATTCAAAAATGTTTTTTGTACAGAAAGATCAACATCTCAATCAGATTATCTATTGAATAATTAAAATTCATCCTCTAATTATAACATGAGGTGAATATATATTTTTAATGACTATATGAGAGTGACTAAGAACTTCGATACAGTTTACAATGGAGAAAAAGTAACAATCACTCCTATTTTCCTGGATGTTTTAATATTTTAGAGAATGGGTTCAAGACATAAATAAGTTCAAAACCAACATTCACTGGACAGTAATTAATTTAGACAATCCACCATCCATATTATTTCCTAAAAGGGATCGTCCGAAAATTTTTACAAACACGAGCAAAAAGGTTATTATTTCAATCCAGAAATTGTAGAAAAGGAATTGGTCAGTATAAATAGGTTGTACAATGTAACAATTACCCTGGGTACATGGCAGCAAATTTTTTAAAAAAAAATGGGATAGTCAAAAACAAGAGGAGGAGGACAACAACACTCAAAAAACAGTCTGCCTTTATGTGAAGGGGTTATCAGAGAAATAACAAAGGAAAAGATGCGGTCCATATAACATCAGGACAACCTTCAAAAATTTTTTGTTTATTTGAGGTATTTTTATCATCTAGAGAAAGCCCACCACAGAAGGAGAACATGACTAAAGACTGTGTGTATACGCTATCCTATGCAGCTGCGGAAAGGAATATAAAGGAGAGACAGGCCCCCCATAAGGTAAGGCTTTCAAGAACACCAGAAAGCTGTAACATGAGGGGAAGTAGAAAAATCAGGCGTGGCTGACCACATATGGAGAGAGAAGGAGATCACCGCCCTCTGTGGGATCATGTTGAGATCATAGACAGGGAACACCATTGGAAAATTCGTAAACTTAAGGAATCAGCACATATGCTAGGCCACAAAAATCTCCTGAGCCGACCAAGCATAGAAATAAATACAATATGGGAACCAGTAATAAGGAGTGCCAGAGAAAAGCAATGATTTAACAAAAGTTGCAATATGAACTCTGGTAAAGACATGCAATGATAACAGCAAAAATTGCAATATGAGCACTGGTAAAAAATGATGCTGAAAACATTAGGTTTATAATACTCAGAAATTCATACCCAGATGTCCTCAAGGACACATGGCACAGTGGATAAAGGCGTTGGTTAGATCCAGTGACAGACCCAATTTGTGAGTTCAATACCTGGTTAAGGCAGTGGAGAACTTTCAGAGGAAAATTTGCAGGAGATAAATAACTGACATCCATCAAACATGGCACGTGGAACTAGAACAGTCTACCCCAGTGATTAAAAATAAAGGGTTCAGAAATTCCAACCACCTGATGAAGGCCAGAGCAAAAACGGCCGAAATATTGTGACAAATATGGAAACAAAGATGAGGACAATAGTCAATTAATGTAAATTGTACATAATATACTCATCTCAGAAATATAGACAGACTCAAAATAAACATGTTCTACTTTATATTTATTTCTTCCAGGGCATAATTTTAATTATTTCACTTTTAATTCTGCAAAGTATCTTCAAAACAATTATTTTTTGGTATCAATCTCTTTTATAAACCATTTTATCAAAAAAAAATTTAGGTAAAAACAATTTCAACTTGAAATCACCAAGTTTTGAACTTTGTACTCTGATATTTTTTCAAAACTCTTTTCATCACATCCCCCCCACCCCCAATATGTTGTTTAATAGATAACACTTTTAATTAATATATCATCCAGATAAGCAATATGAAAATCAAAATCTGCAATATAGTGTCCATAGTTTGTTGAAATATAGCTGGAGCCACTTTTTTATCCCAAAAGGAAGTTCAGTTGAAATTATACAATTTTATAGTTATTATCTTTCTGAACATTCTTCTTCAACCTGTATCTGCAAATACGTTTCAGAAAAGACATTTTTTGAAAAATTTTTTAAAGGAAATTTAAATTTGCAAAAATTTCTCTGAATTTGGTAATGGATAGTTATGGCATTGAAAGCATTTGTTTTCCCCTGTAAAAAAAATCAGCACAAACTCAAATAAAAATTTTTTTCAATTATTGTCCTCATTTTTTGAACCATATTTATCACGTATTTGGCCATTTTTGCGCAATCCAACCTTCTTCAGGTGGTTGGAATAAATTTTGAACCCTTTATCAAATCTTGATAAAATCAAGTGTTCTAATTTTTTTTTGGACAGTAATTATTCCATTCTGTAATTTAATTTAATAAGATGGTACCTAGTGTCAAAAATCTAGTTACTTATGTATAGGGTTTTTTTTTTTTTAAACCATAAAATGGGTAGACTGTTCTAGTTCCACATGCCATTTAAATGGATGGGAATTATTTTTATCTTTGTAAATTTTGTTCTTCAACAGGAGAGAGATAATAATAACCTTGTTACATTCTTTTTTTTCTCTGTTTGAATGATAAATTTTTATTTTTTTTGCAGAATGAAAAAAAGAAAAAACTGAAACCAACATGGTTCTAATTTCTTATTGTCATACAATTTCATAAATGCTGAAGTAAGAAAAAAAAAAAAAAAAAGTATTTAGAAGGACTTTGGGGTTTCCAATATATTGTCACCATGGTTATAATTCACTCCTAGTGGTTATATTATTATATTCACATATCAAAGGCTTTTGCCATGACATCTGTTAGAAATTTCTCCAAACTGACTCCAACAGACTAAAAGTTTTTGGGAGTTCATTTTATTTAACATGTCATTATTGAAACAGTTTTTTTTTCTTTTGGTTTTGTGTTATTTATCTACAAAACATATCCCCAAAAGATAATTCTTTTTTTCTTTCTCTTTTTATTTTTTTCTTTTTAAATCATTTAACAAAAAGGTGGTGGGAATGTGTTAAATACTATATAAAAATCTTTTGGATTTAAGTGAATTTCAAAAAAATAAGAAAAGCATATAAATGAAGAATTGATGAAAGGACAAAATTTTTGAAAATTGAAGTTATCAAGGAAGCAAAGCAAATTATTTTTAAGAAAGAAGCTGTTGAAATATGAAGAGAAATGGTTGCATTTAATTATTTCAACAGTAAAAAAAATGGGACCTCAATGCCAATCTAGTAGACAACATAAATTACCATTAGTTAGGGCACCAGGGGAAAATTTTCATCAGCAGTTGCCATGAAAACATTTTAAAAAGACAGAAAAAAGCCATGTCACATTATAGATAGAAGATGACTGAAGAGATGCCAATTGTGAGATCCTTTTTTAGTAAAAATTATTAGTCAATGCTCCTCCATAGAAAAATCTTGGTCATTAATTTTCAAATTTTTTCCAATATTTTTAAAATTCCAAATGTAAACACTATTTTAAATGGTAATACTTGTTGAAAGAAAATAAATTGAATTTAAAACAATTATAAAGCAAATCTAAATTTCTGTTTCTTACCAAAGAGTTCTGTAAAGTTGACCATGTATTGATTATGTTCTTGATTTTGATGTTAATGCTGCCTGATTTCTATCTCTTACCACCCAGGTTCAAGTGGCAAGACCATGTCCAACCAATTCAGCTTATATAGATTGTCTATTGTAGCTTGATCACCAAATAACTGACGAAAATAATACCTTTTATGTCCATTTATACCAGCACCAATCACAGCTATAATGAAAGAAGAAAAAAACGAATTTTTCAAAGAAATTTAGCTTCAGAAAAGATTTTATGATTTAAACACAAAGCTAACATAAAAATTTTATATTAAAAAATTCACAATTCTGCATTTATTGTAGGATCCACAAAACTTCCATCTTTTCAATTTTAGAAATTTACACATATAATTAGAAAAAATATTATCTATAAAACTGCAAGATATTCATTTAAAAAAATTTCCCCTTATTTACAAAAAAAAATTAAATAGACATCAAATATACAACAAAAAGAGGTTGATTTTTCCAAATAAAAAAAATTTGCAATCTACTTGGCTAAAACTAAAGAAGTCACTTTTAAATTCCTCTGAATGAAAAGATGTAGATGCAAGTTTTTATCTTGAAGATTTTCTTAAATTTTTGCTTTGTGGTTGTGCCTGAGATTTTCACTTAATCTGTTAAAACATTCTGCATTATTCATTACTTTCCTTTCCACTGCATTGTTTTTGTAAAAAAAATTCTACATTTATTTAATCAAAGTCCTGGTCATGAAATGTTGCCATAGCAGGATATGACAACACAACTGAAAAATTTAAACATGCAATTATTCATTCTTCTGAGTCACTTGCAGTGGCAGGATAAAATGACCTCAAGTATGTTAAAGGATAATATTCGATTTTTTTTATAACTATTCCCAACTTATATTTTCTTGCGTGTCTCAACCTTACATTTCAGTTGAAGGTACATATGTGCATACAGACAGGGTCTATCATAATTAGTTTTGGATCCAATTCTCATGTTCTTAATGACAATATTTCAGATTGTTCATCTTGAGGTGACATTTAAATCATCTTGTTAGTAACATTGATTTGTGGGATATTATTTTCCCATGAATTTTTACAGTGAATCATATAAGTATTTTGCTGCAGGCTTCCTAATAAGATTTTTGTCATAAAACTTAACGAGGCCAAGAGGCTTATATACAGTTCCTTCTTATTAATCTATTTCATTTCTTCTAACATAGGTTTAAATTCTTATTCTGTTTTTGCACAAAATGATTCATCTGTAAGTCCATTCCTTCTTGTAATGACCAATCCAAATTTTACCTTAAATCTTTTTAAATATATTCTTTACTCAGCCAATATACATAACTATATGTAGTGAAGTGAGACCAAAAATGCGGTCAAAGTTTAATTTGTAATTCTGTATAGAGCATTATGTTGGTATAAGATATTCACGAGGATGCAACTGATATAAAATTTTTCCTTTTTTCAGGATCTAAAATTTTTTTTTAATCAAATGGTTTTTGAATGGGAAGTGGATTGACAGATTAAAAAAAGAATGTGCTAAGATTTTCATGATATTCTTAAGCGATTTTGATTGCAACATTTCCTTTTGTATCCCCTTGAATTTTACAGAGTTTTTTGATTATTAAAACAGTTTGTCTTACATTTGATCTTGGATAAAAAAAGTTGAATTTTTTGATTATCAAAGGTTTGTCTTTTCTAATTTAAAATACTACTTTAAATTAACTACACTATAAAAATTAAAAAGAAATGGTTAAATTCAAAAGCTATTATTTAAAATATATAATACATAAATTAAAACCAGACTAAAATAATATAAATAATAATTACATTATAAAAAGAAAATATTGAATAAAATTTACTCATTTTATTAGACATTATATCACTTAGCATCTTCCATAATTTACCTTGGCTTTTCAGTTTGATGAAAAATTTGAGCATTCTTAAATTTAAAATTTCTGAGAAACCAACATTTTACTTTTGCTTATAAATACTTGTTGCAAAATAAAATTGTTACAATTGCCTTGATAAAGTCCATCAGAAGACGAAAAGTGTCAACTAAGTTTTTCTTTTGTCTTTATTTATATTGTCTTAGAACTTTCTATAATTAATATCTGTAGATCCATTCAAAATCTTTAAGTTTCAATCAAATTGTCTCAATTTCTTCTATCTTCTAAGATATTATGCTACACAAATTCAGTCTCTGATGGTAATGTCTTACTCTGCTTCAAATTAGGCCTCTCACTTTTTGATTCACTCCATACTGTCGGCCAGATGTGAATGCTATGAAAGCAAAATTTTAAATTTGCTCTACTCAGGGGCCCCAACCATCATATCTGGCTCATAAAACAAATTCTGAAAAAATATAAAATAAAAACTAAACCTCAGAACGAATCACAAATGTTGCTGCTAAAGTAAAAATCATTGAGACATGTATCCATCCCGATTGCTTAAAAGGATCCAATCAGAAATTCAAAGAAGTACACCAAAAATTCACAGAGTTTACTAGTGGCCACATGATCAATTGACCTAACACAAACTTTAACATCAAGCTTGTACACAAATAACTCTTCTTCCAGGTCTGCTCCTTCACCCACAAAAGATCCATTATATTGGCAATATAGATCATTTTAAGTTAACATATCTTTGCTCTTTTTTTGCTCTGTCTCAATGGCAATACTTTATTTTTTGTTTTGTTTGCTGCTCTTGCCACCATACACAGTATATAACAATAAATTTTTGAAAACCATTGTTTATTTCAGTGGCTTGCCTCTGAACCACTTCAGTTTTTTTAATATTTTTGATAAATCAGGGATGTCAAAACTAGTGGCCAATATCTAGGATATGTCTTACAAGTGATTTGTACAGTATCATGATATTTTCCATCAATTTGAGTAAGTTTTGTTGATGACATATACAATTCTGTTTGATTACAACTTTAGCACATGTGCTGATTCCTTTAATTTCCATATTTTCCACTACTTTTGTTGTGTCAAACTTATTTGAAAAAAGAATCACTGAAATTCTTTTATGAATAAATTAAAGACAATTTTAAAATTTTTCCATATATACACACACACAAATATGTTTGTGTGTACATATGTATAACAAAATTAATTATCAATAACTACTGAGTATGTCTCACAAGCAATTCATAGAGAATGTAGTTTTACATCTATGTCATTTTTTGCTGTTTGTTGTGTGTCAAATCTATATGAAAATGTCTGTCCTTGATACAGACCTAAGCCACTTGACATTTCAGCAGATTTATCAAATTTAATAGGACAGTGGACAACAGATGTTCTGGAGACAAGTTATACTTTTTTTCTATCATAAAAAATGATTTATAACTTCAAAATGTTAACTTTCCCAACTGAATAAATGTTTTTTTTTTTTTTAGGCTTTTATTTATTTTTTAAATTAAATAATTTTTTAAATCAAAGGCCAAGTTTGAACTGATTATTTTGGAAGACATGAAAAAAAGTGAAAGGAACTCATGATTAAAAATACATTCTTTTTTTTATGGTTCATTTTCTTCTTTTGCAGTTATAGGAATCTAAAAACTTTTTTATTCTATAAAAGAATTATTTACACTACTTATATTTGGACTAGTGTTCTCATCTTTGTTGTTGTTATCTATAATATCTATGAAAAGAAAATAAGGAACATATCATATATATATATATATATATATATATATATATATATATATATATATATGTGTGTGTGTGTATAAAAAAAAAGAAAGAGTAAGATATATAATCTGGTGTTCTTAATGATATTTTTACAAAATAGTGCTCAATGTAAATTTACAGAGGATTAATATTATAAATTAACTGATTTAAAATATGTTTTTTTTTTGCTACACAGTAATAACCATGTTTCAAAAATGGAAGCTAAAAGCTTCAAATTTAATTTTGTAATTAAATTAAAAACATTAGTTCCATTTCATCCTCAAGCAAATTTTGGAGTAACTTATTTTTAAAATTTACTGAGTTTTAAAGGCACAGAAAAATTCATAATTCACTGTTTCCAAGGATACAGAGAAATCCAATCATTCAGACAAGGGGTGGTAGCGTGTTCATTTTTATTAACTTTTGTTGTATCAGTTATTAGTTACGTTTGAAAAAGGGGTTATGTTTTAAGTATAATAGGGATGTTTTTTTTCAACGAATTTGACATCCGTTAAATGCATGTCGTCTGGATTTTTTTTTAAAAAAATTTTATTGTTAACGGCAAAAAATTCTTACGGTGTTTTTTTTTCTATTTGTATATTTAAAGATTTTTTTTGGGGATATTTTTTATTTAGAATATTTTTTATTTAACTACAATTTAGAAAAATATTTTCACTTTTAATTTTTAATAGACTATATTTTTTTTTAAAACAAGTAAATGTATTAGAATTACTTACAGTATATAAAATTATTTTTTCATATCAAGTATAAGTATGTATATTATTAGGTGATTTTTTTTTTAAAAAAAAAAAAATATTATTTAAAGAAAATTTTTTGACAATGACAGAAAAAAAAATAGCTAATTCATTTCTCTGATTAGTAATATTTTATTTTTTTTATAAACTTAGTAATATATAGTTTCTCATGTATGTACAAAGGACATGGGTCATTTAATAGTTACATATTCTAGCTTTATATATTAATTTTTTTTTTACTGTAGGTGTTTTATTGGATTTTTTTAAGTGCTTCCATAGTATTTTTTGAGAATGTTTATGGTTAGAATATGTTTTATTTTTAAAAATTTTAAAAGATGTTTAGGTTAGAATTTGTTTTATTTAACTACAATTTTAAATATATTTTATTTTCATTTTTAATTTTAATAGACTATATTTTTTTTAAAAAAATAAATGTATTAGAATTTTTACAGTATATAAAATTATTTTTTCATATCAAATATAAGTATGTATTTTACCGAGGGTCTCACCTTTTAATTTTATAAGAAGTAATATAAAGTTTTATCATTTTTCAAAAAAGGACATGGTAAAATAGACCTGTTTATTTCCTTTTTTT